GACGGTTGGACCTGGCAATTGTCCCAAAGAATCAAGGAACACAAACCGATCTGGCTGCTTTCAGGCACAAGAAAAACGATTTCAAGTGCAATCGTAGCCCATCTTGCCGATACCGGGCATCAGGTTGATGATGACGCATTTAAAATCATCTACAGAGTGACATCAAACCCTTCGGAAACCGCCAGTCAACGTCATCTCGCAACAGCCGAAGCCGTGGCCATTCGATTATTAAACCCATCGCTTTGTTCTCAAAAGCGATTCGTACAATCACTCAGACTGCCTTGGCCACAACGTGACACTTACCCCTAAGATAAATATAACCTTTCTCGTAACCCCATCCCACCCCCCACCCTAACGCGTGATGACATGTCCACATCCTAATTGTTTTCCTAACCGTGTTACGATCACATCCTCCCATCCCACCCCTTTCCCAACCACACACCAAAAACAATCAAAAACCACAAATCACACAGCCATTGACGAACATTTTAATTTTAATTTCACTATATAACTGTATTAGCCCGAGGAAGAAGTTGTCGAAAACGAGCTTGTTCACTGAAACCATCGCGTTTTCTCTCCATTCATTTTCGTTGCTCGTTTGTCCGGCAGATTACAAAATTCTTGACCATAACGAGTTGTCGAGTTTGCATTGCATTAGATAACATGATGTTCAAATTGATCAATGACATCCCTTTGTTTTTAATTAGTTTTATTATCTTCGGGTATTGTACTGGGTGCCAGGTACAATTTGCTTGATGGAATAGGATTTGATTGTCAAATTAAAGTTACTCTAGGGAAGAAGTTTACCAATTAGGAGGAAAACGTCGCTTTGAATAGTGGTTGCTTATTACATATTTTGAATATATTATTCTGTTCTATCGTTAAACATTTGCCAAGTAAGATCTATTGTTTTGTTTCTCGCTTCAGAGTGGAAGACAACGACAATTTGGCTCCCTTATTCAATAGTCAAACAGATCTTCTTCGAAAAACTTACGGAAATTTCTACATTGCCGAATTGGTAGAAGCACAAAGTGATGATCTTAAGTGTATTGTGGTTGAGGTAAGCTTTGCGGTTTTCTATCACGGACAGTTTAGTGCGATAACAAAGCGGTTGGTTTTATTAGTGCCACGACCAAGGTGAATCTGGATGCACTGAATGAGGTTTACGATTTGGAGGTATTTAACGGACTTCGCAAACCCCACTCGGGAGATGTGATTATACGGTCAACTGACACAAAACCAGAAATCCCCAAATTGAAACAAGGCAAGTCACAATCAGCCTTATACTCACTGCGCTCATTGATTAGATCAACCGATTTGAGACAGCTACTATGATTTACGAGTGATGAGGATGACAGTAAATTGTAAAACATTGTTTCCCTTGATCTATTCCATTACAAAAAGAATGCACTGTGAACGGAACTGATATTGATCATCGACTTTGAGTGTTCTCGTTCAGCTGAAAATGTTGATGTATGAAAATCACGCAGGAAACAAAGAAACATACCGGTTAAAATGGGTAATTGAAACGAGGTGGAGGAGAAACGAGTTGCGTAACTGAGTTTGGGTACGAGATGAGATCAATCTAGGTGATAAAATTTGGTGAAAATGTATGAAAGAGAAGTGTGCAAAAATATGACGAATGTCATTGGTGGTGTTGAGGGGACGGAGGAAAGCACATGTCACAAATCGTTCTTGTTGCCATTTCAGATAGGAAACCGAAGAGTTCCGAAATTGTGACGTAATTTGTGGCGTTGGTACCATGCTTGTCCGCAAGCCGGCGTTATATANTATATATATATATATATATATATATATATCTATATATATATATATATCTATATTGTGAATCGGACCGGATATGTACAACTGAATCGGGAGATTGGCTCAAAGGGAAACTTGTAAATCATGCTCACCAGTTCCGTGCAACCAAAATCTATCAACATATCCTATTCATAAAATATTACGTAAACGCGATGAAAAAACTAAAACAGAACAGGTCAATGTTTACTGTAAAGCGTATTAATTGTCTTGGTAGTTGTCATTGCAATTCAAGAAGGTTATGTTAGGAAGATGAAACCAATACTAATGGACCGTATTCGCTTTTTGTTTTTGTATAAATCGTGTAAGCTTATATGCTTACAATGACATTTTCAACTAGACCCAGAAACGAAAGACAAAACTGAAAGTTTCCGAAAAGCCTATCTATTTTACATTGCAGGGATTTCAAAAGTAAGTGGTGGCTGATAAAAATTATTTCATTAAACTGACACCCTTGAGATCCACAAAACAGGAGAATGTACAGAATACCGAAATTTTAAAGACCGGGAATCCATTTAAGACCAATCCTATCGAACGTTAACTCCTATCAACACAAACTAGCGAAAAGGTTGGCGAAGCTCATTACTTGGTTTGGACTAAAGGACTCAGTTCAGTTCAAGTAATCACTACCGAATATAGGTTACCGCAATTTCTTCCTTGCCTCCAATAGTAATAATTCAGTGTTCACAAATATTGCAGTGGAGGGATCTGTGAACGAAATCTGCAAACGTATTCGTGAATTTGGTTTGAAAACAAGAATGACTTGTCGTTCATTTTCAACGAAAATATCTATAAACACATGCATAGCATAGCTGTGGGAACCCCGACGAGGAGAATCATGGTTGATATCAACTCTAACATACCGTTAATATGTTGATGATACATCACCTATTGCATGCAACATACCAAATGAATGCTAAGGCATTATTCCTCCAGGAACACTAAAGCCTGATACAAAACTGTTTACGCATGCGCACATGAGTCTAAACTATTGTTTTTAAACAAAAGTAATCTTCTAACTGGATGTGTGAACTTGTCTCGACACATTTTAGACTTCGCTAGGTGTGTTTCAGTTCTAGTTTCGGTTGTTAGGCCTCACTGCCTTCGAGTGCAAATACAGAGAACTTATAAGACTGCAGTCATAAACGAGACGAGTGAGTGATTTCGAACTTCGTGAATTTTTCTATTCCCAGAAGTTATGGTTATTCATCGCTTGGATCTAAAACTTTCTTAAACGAACATTTGTGACAAAAATTTTGGTGTTGTCTTAGTGGTTGCGGCTCACAAACTATCGCCCGAACAGGCTTTTTAGTGTGTTCTTGTCTTCACCTACACCACCAATTCCACCCACCAGTTTGTTTTAATCATTTCAACTTTATAAAGTACCCTAAATTTTTGTCTTCTAGCTTCGCCCTACCCCAAACTTAATTACGCAGCTCATCTCTCCACAACTTGTGAACTCTTACCTTTTCGATAGGTATCTTTGCTTGTGACATTTACCGGGACAGGTTTTAGGTAAAAGGACAAGGTTGAGAGCGGCACGAATGTGAACTGATGTGGAGCAATGAAAACCTTAATCAGGGAACTTGATTTGTTTGGTCCATTTTAGGCTTCCCAATCGGGGATCTCATGACCAACCTGGTTAATCTTTGGAGATACGGGGTGATGTGGCTGAGTGTTACAAACGGCGGCTCTCATGTAATAAGTAACTTTCTAAGCACATCCAGTTTGGTTGTATTCAGCTTCTTTATTTTGGTACTGTTCTCACCTTCTTTTATCCGTCATTCTAGCCAATGACTGTGAGACTACAACCACAAACAGCGTTAGGAAATTTAATTGTTCAAGGGATTGCGTATTCCATTTTGTTCTGTAGTCATTCTCGAAGGTAGGCTTCCAATATCAGTCTGTGCTGCACCGATCTGAGCCTAAGATATAAAGGATTTTGCCTATCTTCAAGCGTTTCCAATGCTTTCTGCTGTCGTCAAGTCAGCGGGATGATAGTAATTCTGACGAAACACTCACAGATACACTGGGTTGTTATGCTGACTTCCATTCTTGGGATGCAACTTAATAGAAATATTTTTATGAATTATCTCATTTTGTTCCCCAGAAAGTGATAATAACTAATCTTTGAATTCTTCAGTCGACAGTTACACGGCCAAGGAGGAACAAGCTACATCACAAATTCTAAATGATGAGGCAGCACATTCATCTCCCAGTGTGCCAGAAATCACCGACCCAAATCCCTGGACTCGGAGACATTTGCTTTCAGACGATGTGACTGCCACATCTGAACAGAAAACGTTTATTTCAACCTACTGTGGGGAATCGGATGCTTTTGCTATCCAGTTGTATGCAATCAAACCGGAATTCGAGACGCGGTAAGTGCAATCAGGTTGGACGTAAACAGACCCTCGGATTAAGCTGAGCTGAATGGTACCAGGCGCGTCCCCGGGTTGTAGATAGGGAGATACATTCGCCGAAGAAGATTAACTGTGAATACGTTGTGGCATACCGCAACAAATAAGCAGTCGGGAACAAACAGTGGCGGCACTACCAGGGTGTGGTAGGTTTCGGGCTGTTTACCTGGTTCGTGTTCAAAAGCCGCGTAAATCCAATGACGGTGTCGTGACAAAGGTCGATGTGACTGGCGTTTTAAAACTGAAGTCATTGAACCCCTCACTTCCGAGGCGAGGGGTTACTTCCTGCTACCTTGCAGTTCGCACTTGGTTACGCAAAGACTAGAGGTGCGCCCTAAAAATAAAAAAACCGCCGAGTGACACTGGGGACGTCTCTCGTACCAAACTCCCAAGGCACTCCATGGTCTTCCATGGTCTTGATCATATATGGAGCCGGGGGTTATCCTTTCCAAGGAGTCAGCCGCAGTAAAGTAAAGTAAAATTAAAGTAACATAAACAGATCGTTTTGGCGTTGGTCAGTATTTACAAACTCTGCATCACGTATGATCATAGATAAGGTTTTGCTTCGTCATGTACAAAACATTGATATTTCATGTGGACGTTTGGGGGTAGGTGGAGTGGCAGCGGGAGAGTGTGTGTGGAAGGGGTACCGGTAATGTCTATTAAAATGTTCTAAAACTACAGGAAATCTGTTTCGGTAGGTTATGCTTATGTTACTGAAGTTTTTGATTACAGATTCCAATTG